AGTGAACTGATTTATTTGCGTCCAATTCGCGGGACGATAATGAACTGGCCGGCATGACCGTTCGGCAATTTGGGAGACGCGTACTCGCGTTGCCGCACTCGTCGCAGTGATATATGAAAGCGAAAAACACGCGGATCGCAAAAACAAAAGAACCGAGCACCGCGTTTGAAACGGACAAACCAAGCAGCGGACAAGAAAAAGTGGCTTACACAACTTACAAAATAGCTTGCATACGACTTCTTCTAACTGTAAAATGACTTATAAAATATATAATTCCTTTTTCAAACTGTATTGCAAAAAGATAAAAGCGTTGTTGCGCAACATTCTTTGCTTACTTTACGGCGGTTTTCCAGCGTTTCGTCAGACTCTCCTCAAGCACAATTGTTTACAAAACTTAATGAATCGCACGGGAGTTGCATTCGCGCGTTTACGGGCGCAAAACCGTGCGGTTTCCTCTCGCTTGACTCGAGCGTATACAAGCGTAACGATTTAATTGTCGTTCCTCGACGGGACTAGAAATCTTGCGGTGTGCAGTGCGCGATGTGCGAAAAAAAAAAAAGGAAGAAAGAAACGAAACGAGCAAAAACATTGTCGTGGGCGGTGCGAGGCGACGGCGGTCGATACGTCCGTGGCGACGCGGATTAATTTACCGATTCAAAAATCGCTCTATAAACACCCAATCTCAGATAATGTCTACATCGGTAGTTAACCTAATCTCGTGCGCACCATTGAGGCGAGGGGCGCGCCGCGGGTCGATCGCAATAAAAAGAAACCGTGTATAATATGTAATGGGCCTATCTTCGTAATAACTCCGCAGTTACTTCGGCCACGGTAGATCTTACCGATAGTCTCAAAGACAGAGCCGTACACGCCGGTCGACCACCTGTGTGTACACACTCCCGCGCGAAAAGGGGTGAGAGATTCGCGGCGCCGCGCATAACATCGCCTCGGGCAAGAAAATAGCGACATTTAGAATAATCCTTTCGCAACGTCACACTTTGATGCATAAGTATCGCCATTATACGTTACAGAAACGACATAATTAACGTCGCTGTCCGCCAAGAATTTATTACTTCGATCTAATGGGCCGAGAGAGTGTGCGCCGCGCGCAGAAAAGAGATTAACGTTGGCGATCTGATTCGTTGACAGATACGTCTGCACGAGGTGCAACAAAGTAGAAATGCTTTATGCAGAATACTTTGTAGAAAAGTAAGGACGGCAAAAAAAGTGGAGGAAGCATAAAAACACGTAAAAACTTGTGTGATGTAGACATTGATTAATGTACACAAGCTGAAAACATATAGTCCTGAAAATAAACCAAATAATAATAAGTGAAAAATAGATAATAAAATATATTGATTAGAATATAGAATGTTTAATTTAAAGTTGAAATACTTCCTACATTGCTATTTTTTCACATTTTACCAATTTTCAATATTAAATGCCTTGATGAAGCCAGGAACTTTATAAAAGTATAAAATTTTTCTACTTATTTAATATCACCACTGACACCAGCAGCCTTTCTCTGAGCGTTCTTAATTAAATAAATTGCTCCACGAGCAATTAAAAGTTAACATTATTTCACCTGCCACCTCCGTCGAGAAGGACTATAAAAGCATCAATTCGAAACTACGTAGACAATCGATGGGCCAACCGGTGGCACCGACTCGGCATCGATCGCGGACCATTTTTATCCCGAAACATTTGTAATTAAATTAATTTGCCCGCGACTCGTCTGATCGCGAATTGCTCAACTGAATGATTGATGAACGTTACACTCTCATTATGGGCCGCTACTGTGAGAACATACGTAATACATAGATGCGAGCCAACGTCCGTCTATATTACGCTTATGTACGTATTTAAACGCGGATGCATATATATGTATCCGTATATACGTCTCTCGCGATGCGCAGACTGGAATCATTACGAACAGTTTACCCGGTCTTTCATTAGTCATCGACGATTTAATGCGTCGTTTGATTTCATCTGTCGACGGACTGCGCCAATCGGCATAACGTTTCGTTCTTTTTCGTGCAAACATCGCCAAGCTGTTCTCGCGCGGCTCTGCCTTTCGTCATCTGGTGACTGCGATGACGACAACGGCATATTCTATCGTTAAACTTTACTAGTTTATAATTATTTATTGCCCGGATATTGCGGTTTCACGACAGATTATTATCGCGCGCGTATATTAGATTTAATTAGAATCACCGCGTCGTAAAGGCGGCCAATCGGGCAATTTCGTGCGTTTCAGCCTGCGTGACACGCATAACGTCACTCACTTTTATTGCCCGTCCGAAAAATACGCCCGTCCTGATCGTCGTCGCCCTCGTCGTCGTCGTCGTCGACGTCGCTGTTCATCTCGTGGCTCATGAATAACAAGCGCACGTACCGCGGTTTCCAGAAACCAGAACTCCACCATAGGCGTGTTTCGCGTGCCGAGTGCCTTCCACCTTCGGAATCAACGGTGCCGCGATTTCGGTGTGTCACAAGAAACGACTGTCGTGTCTCGTTTTCGCTATTGGCGCGTATTTTATTTCGTCATTTGTGCGACGCGATACATTGTTAAACACTTACCGTCGGCATTTCGAAACGTTGACGTACTTGAATGCAAGTGGAGACCATACTCAGAAGCATTGAAATGTTTTTGCAGAAGTTCGATTCTTTTAATTAATGTGAAATTAGCAATACATATAAAAGATTGTTGCAAAATTAGTTTCAAAAATATGTAACATATATTTTTTAATCTTCAGCATCTTGATATATAATATTAAGCTGCTTATTAAAATTATATCAAACCGGAACATCGTAATTTTATTTATTAAACTCTATTTTTGAAGAATGTCATATTACCATTTTAATTATTAATTTTAACTTTTAACTATTCATAAAAATAACAAGAATGAAAAATGATAATTTAATTTTATAATACATTTTTCTTGTTTTTTTTGTTTTTTTTTTTTTTTTACATTATTGTATTAAAACTTTTATTTGTACATTTTGTCAAATGGTTTTTCGCTGAATATTGCACAAGTTTGCAATAATGCGAATAGCTCCGCTAAAAGCCCTAGTAAATTCCGTTATAAATTATTGCGGGGCGCACAACAGAGAATCGTTGTGTGTGCGCGCTGATGTGTTACGTGTAATTTGTTAATCGCGCCACGGTGTTACGGTTACACTCACCGCCGGTGTAACCGTCGGCCGGTTGGAGTTGCGCTATTAGCGTTGTATCGTGTTTCACGATACGTACCATTTGTTTGATCCTATGACGGGTATACGGCGCGGACAGAGAGGCGAGCTTTTCATTGTCGACGTATGCACGAGCATTCCCACGTTTCGTCAAGAGATTGTTGCCGGGGAAACAATCGCACTCGGATCGGCCGTGCTGTAAATCTAATCTTCCGCACGATTGTTTCGGAAATTCGATATCGACACGAACGCGCGATCGATCACGGCCACTACAAAATGATTCTCTTTTGATACAGCTAAGAGTCTTCTCTGTTGCACTGTATTACACCGCGAACAGTCACTGTTCGCGGTAGCTATATAAGAACACATTGTGTAACTATTATGTATTTTATTTTCAAAAATGGAGAAACGAAACAAACATAACGCTGTAGCGAACTGTAATAATTCAGTCACAATTTTATAGTGATTTTTTCTCTATTATTTTGATGACTTTCTTCCTTTTTATAAAATTCCTTCCTTTTTATAAAATTTTAATTCGTAAATTTTCGATAAAACTTTAATAATTTGATTTGCATCATTTTTAATATAATTATTTGCGTGCAAAATAGTTACGTTTATGTTTCAATTTATTTTATATACCGCCTGTATATATCTGTTTCATACATTCTAAATACAAAAATTAATATAGATTACAAATTAAAACAGATTTGATTTTCGAAGTGCCGCTTCCGTATAATCGTCTTTCGATACTAATGGCGTTTGCTCAATTGGATTGCGAACTATGAGAATTGGTTCCTTCGCGTGATTGACTATTAATTCCGTCGGTCATTAGACGAACGGAGGTGTGTCGCAGGGAAATTAGATAGCGCGGGGTATACAGGCTTAGGCCGGTCGAATCTCTCGTGGGAACTGGTCGTGATTAGTCCACGTCACTGCCGACGCTAGTTATGCTAATTGCGCTTAAGCACTTTGGCCTGCTATCAGCGTCGACTATTGAAATCGCCGCTGAGTAAGTCACGTACTAAGGCTTAGACCTTTGTCCGTCGGTTTTGCCTATCGATATCGCCGCTTTCGAAAAATCGCCACGGCGTCGGCACATTAACTCGACAATCTCGGGTATGACAATCGGCGATATATTGCGTGGGTGAAATTACACTTGTGCGGCTTCTAAATCTCGTTAGAACGAGACGCACAGCTGGGACGAAATAATGCAAAATTACTATGTTGCAACGGCGCATTATACTAATATTCATTTACACCAGCGTCACAATGCTTTGAAATATATATGAATTAACTCGAAGTGGTTTAATGTGAAGTGTCGAGATTGCTTCGTATCTTTTTTATCAATTTCTGGTAGGGAGACAAGAACACCTACGCAAACGAGTCCTAACAGAAAAATCTTTAAAGACCTTTGTCGACTCTAAGCACACAATCATGTTAAAATACACATCTCATATTGAACATAATTCTGAGTTCGAAATTACTACGTGAAACTTTTATATTATTCAAGCAGTTAAGAATTTTATTACGAATCAAAAATAAAATATTTATATTATTTTTGATTATTATTATCTCCTCATTTGAAACTCATTCAACAAAGTTGAGTAGTTAAAGTTTTATGTTTCCATTTCAGAGTGTTTTTTTTTTTTACATTTTAAAGTTAACAAGTTTTTTTTCCGGTGGTTTGCAAACATTTTTGTAAACGCTCGGGAAACTGGCGGGTCTTAAATATTGTAACTCTAGATAATAGATAAAACATTACCGCTCTCAGCAGTTGTCCTAACGAGAACATTTGATTTTTATTGCAGGCGGCGGGACCGCCGGTGCAGCTGGAACCAGTGGACCTGTCCGTGAAAACTCCTGTGGTGTTGCAGGTGCCGCGGTACAGTCCGGCGGCGATAATTACCGCTGCCGCGCGAAGAGTACCATCGCCCTCGACGACGCCCACGCCGCCGCCGCCGTCGTTGCTCTGCATATCTACCGGTGAGTAGACATTTATCACAATGAATTTATGTGCGGCCGTGTACGTATACGCGGCTGGAATTTAAATCGAATCTTGCGACAGTGACACGATCACGTTATCGCCTCCGGGGATACTGCTCGAAAGAATCTGCATCTGCACTTGTCCACGGACTTGTATTTACCGGACGATTCAAACCGCGCTCTCGTTCACAGCTCCGCGATTTCGCGCTGTGTCATAGAATGCAGAAGTTCTCCATGATACATTACCGCTGTGTATTTTTCAATTAATTCGATATTTACAGTTTTCGACTTTTGTTTCGGTTTATTATATATTGCGTGAGAATTTCGTATGGATTATAATTTGTTTGTAATAAAATCGAAAAGCTGATAAAGTTTTATAAACGGTAAAACATTTTTTTCTCACAGATTAAACTCTAATTAATATTTATTTTCTTCCGATGAACGTCCACTCGATTAACTTCTAAATACGAAGAAAGACACCTACTTGACGGTTGTTGGATGTGTTTAAAATTCCAGAGACTATTCGTGAGGCAATAGAATTCTACATTATGAACTGCACGCAAACGAAAGTATCTATCTATTGTCGCTTTGGTGCATACACATATACGTGTTTATCAGCTTTAAGCCATATTTGTACATTTTAGTTTTAATTAATCTTTCAACATGAATCGAAAACAAAGAAATGAGCTTTTATTCAAATATATCGTTGGACGTAAATTATGAAATTTGCAATTTTCAATTTTTGAATGTTTTTGACATTTTTTTCGTTCAAAATTTTTTATTTACACTCTAATACAGATATCCGTGATTGTTTAAAAAAACAGCAAAAATAAATTCTACTTTGTGTAATTCAGTTTTCTGTCACTTCTGAACAATCGACAAAAACAAGTCGTGTAATTCCGCCTTTACATAGCTGCATACAGGTGCGGCGTATCGGCACACAGGTGTAGATGCAGCACGCGCAGAAAACGCCGCGGCTCGAAGCGTGGCCTCGACGCTCGCTTATGGATAAACCATAGAGAGATCCCTAGCGATTGCGTTACTTTATGGGTTAATTACGTGGGATTTTTTTTTTACATATCGCGCGCGGACGAGCCCATCGACCGACCATTTTGTGGAAAACCCTTGCATGCAACAGACGGCACAAACGCGCGCGTACGAGTGTGCATACTTTTTAAGGAGTGACCTATGGGAAATCGTAAAATCACTCACCGTTACTACTGCACGAGGTGGCATTTGTTGACGAATAAATTACGGATTTGTTTCGATGCGAAATATTTACAATCCGTCACGATGCGATACAATTTTTATTCTCACTCGATATTGGATTACATTTAATAGAAATTGAATATTATTGCTTTATTAAATATTTATATAATGAAAGTTATTCGTGACATGATTTTTCCCAAATAAGAACGTTGTGTGTGTTGAAAGTCGAATATTTTTATATATTAATTAATGCATTTTTTAGGATTTATATACAATACATTCGATTATTTTTTATTTCTTGCATAGGATGCTCGACATACAAAAATATCGTATACTTTCTTTTGATCTCAATATTAAAGTTTTAAAAAATAAGAGCATTTTTAAAATTAAAAGAAATCTGGGTGAATAAAATTAAATATGTAGATAAATAATAATCAATATATTTTACGATTAATTTTATGTAGATTTTTTTATATAGCAAAAGTTTAATTTGTGAGATTTGAGATTTGCAAGGCGTTTCGCATTAACATTAAAAAATCACAGAAGTATTTTATCGTAAATTATTCTTAATGAGTTTTAAATTTGACAAAGTACCCGTGGCTGAACGAAAATGAGATAGTTATAAGACATCCTGTACAAAAGATGGAAAGCAATCGACCATGAACTTTTACCAGGAACCACCCTGATTTGCACACCGTCGTAATTACACGATGCGAAATAATAATCCAAAGCGCGTAGACAGATGTTCGATCTGCCTTGAGGTCTCAAGGTCGATGTGTTCGGCGATTCCCCGATTAAAAAAGCGACACGAGGAGAGATCTGGTCTTGTTGGTGGCTGCGAGAGTCGCCGCGGGCGAGAGCTGCAGCGCGAGAGTGTGTAGGGGAAAAAAAGGCAACAAGCCCGCTGAAATAAAGTTTAAAACGCCGTAATCGCCTCGATAAAGAGGCGAACCGCGAGCAAAAAGTCGTTTTAGCGCGCGCGTTTTAGCGTGCCGAGCAACGAGCGAGCGCGCTTAATAGTTTAAACCGCGAAATCGCTCGCGCAGGTAGTTGTACGCGCCACGCCTCTTTTTTATCGCGTATAAGAAAAAGAAGAAAGAACCAGGCGGTCGACGGCAAACGAAAGAAACGCGGCGCCGCGCGACTAGCATGTTCGGAACTCTCTCAACGTTCACTTCCATTTCTGGATTAATGATTACGCACACCTGCGCAAAGTGGAATCCGAATACGATTGGGGTCGCAACCCGTAGTCCTCGCCTGCGGGCCTCGTCGTCGTTGGTCGCCGGTCGGAGTACAGCCAGTAGCACGATAGGAATACTTTTATCGCGCGTTTACGCGTCCGGCTCTCTCGCGCGCTCGCCTAATCGCTCGCCCGTCGTGACCGATACCTTGCCGGCGAATCTCTCCGTGCGCGCGAAATCGCCTTCCCGGATTTCGTGATTTACGCCGTTGGAAAGCGACCGGTCGCGCGTTAATCCTTTCGCACCTAATGGGTGTTCCGCATGGAAAATAAACTGACAAACGTTTTATAAAGCGTTCGCGAATGCGTTCGCGAATTACGTAAGTTCGATTGCAGTTTATTAAAAAAAGTAACCAGCGTGAAAGCATTCCCATGTAATGTCTGAAGTTTAATATTCTCTGCTACATTAATAATATAGGCGAAGGAAATGAGATTGCACAGTTCAACACTTTTAGCGATATAATATATAGTTCTCAACGCTTTCGATCAAATACACTTTCTTTTAGCCATGGATCTCCCATTAGATGTTTTAATAACACGTTGTAAATCTAATATATTTTGTTGTAAATTCTACACGCGATAATACCACAGAATATTTCCAATCACACATCTTCTGACGCGAGAGAGTCGAATATAAATTTTGATAACAATTTACGTTACCGCTCGCGCGAAAATTTACGTCACGCCGGGTTAAGAATCTCCGTCGCCGGAATTCACTTTACGTCGTCGCGCGTAAAAACGGAGGCCTCGCTCGTGGCGATGTATCCGCGGCACGTGACATTCCCCGCCGAGATGGAGAAAGAGACGACTCTTGGGTGATGTCGCTCGCGAGTTCTGCGACGTGGCCGAGAGCAGACGGCCGACGGCCGACGGTACGTCCCTCGGTCTCGGTGTGCCGACATTCTATTGTTTTCCAGCAAACTCCGCCGGCGATCCCCTGCGGCGATATAACGCAGAACGGATATTAAAGATCGCCTGTAACCGCCGTCTGTTGTCCAGCCTTTTTCCTTGACTTCTAGCGGCCGCTCGCGCGCGTGGTCATAACTCGTCGACTGGTTGCGGCTATCGGAAAATTCCAATCGTGCGTGGATGCCATATACGCACCGCGGACACGAGTCTCTCGGTCGCATACATCGCCGCCGGTGCCGAGCCCGATTGTGTACGACAGCGCATTTTGCGAGTCTTTGATGCAACAAATTAGGACTGCTGACAAAACTGCCGATCTGATTGGGAATGCGTTGCCAAGTAACATTGAATGAAATTATTGATCAGAATTAAATAACGTTGGTGTATTTGTCAATCCCTGAATTAATACGTTTTTTTTTTCGCAATTGTCTCGTCATGACTTTCTTTAAGATTTATATAATTTATGTTATAAAAATCACAACAAATGCATTTCTAATTTTTATTTATCAGCACATAAAGTGATTATTAAAACATTCATAGTTACAAACTTAGAACTGAATAAAAAAGCGGCGGTTATACAGTTATGTAGCGAACAAACCGAGCTTTATGGCATTTTAATTGCATTAATGAAATTATCATGCGTCGACGACGCCGGAGGTCTTCATTTGTCACTGAAGTGAATAATTAGACAATCTGCAGGCGAACGAGTCTGGAATTAAACACTACACAATGCGACGGTTCCTCTACGCGTGAATTAACAGGTGGGTGTTAATTCCAGTCGTTAAAAAGTGCCTGGATCTCGCGAAGAAAGTACGCCGTTGCGCGTCGCCGCAGCTTTTTTCGTAATTAATTCACATCCGGGTGAGCAAACGACAATTGCAACGCACATCAACCGTTTTCTTTTTCTTTTAAACGAAAAGATGACGGATAGCGGGCCGTCCCGTTGGGAGAGTCGGCTCGAGCCGACTCTCCCAGAGTTTGATTGTGTTTGATTAATTACTCATGCTGTTTCTCAGTCGGCGGAAGCTGACGGGTAGCAATCTTGATAAGGCGTAACCGTATTAACGGATCTGACGTGATGATTTTATTTTTTTAAAGGCGAAAAACGTTCAGGCGCAATCGATGGAAGGGGCAAAACGATCGGACGAGAAAGGCCGGCTGTTCGCTCGGTTCGATCCGGCGTGTCATCCTGTTGTTGCGAGGATGATCTCGCGGCTTTTACGCTCGACATCCCGCGTAATCGAATATCATCGTACATAAGTCGCCATTGTTTTGCCGTATGTTCACTGTGCGTAGGCATTCCGAACTGGCTCGGATTCAGTTTTATAACATTCGATGATATCAGCAAGTTGGCAGGCGAGACATTTCCGTCTCGATACGCTAATTTGTCAATTACACGCTCGAGTGCAAAAGTACAAAAATTAACGCTTTCAATAAAGCAAATAGTATTGAAAATTATTTTGTAATATTCTGAGCACACATGGAAATTTTTACGAAACGCAGATGCGAAGTGCGTAATTTTATTCGAGATTACGACGTAATTACTGCTCGCGCAGCTGTTTACAATCTGCTTGATATTTGCCGAGAGATCGTCGGAGTTCTTCCGCGATAAGTGCTATAATTAACGACACACTGAGATTAAGTG